CCCGGGGCAGCGGAGAAGTCTCCGCTGTCCCGGGAAGGCAGGCGGGGGGAGCAAAGACTTTTGCCCCCCGCCGGCCTTCAGAAGAGGTCCAGGACCTCTTCTGAAGGCCGGCTGTGGGCGAAAGTCTTTGCTCCCGACCGCCAGCAATTTAAAACAGGTCCCCGGAGATTTCCCTATGGGCTTTCGTCTTGCGAAGCAAGCCCATAGGGAAATTCGTCTTGCGAAGCGCCTCCAAAACAGAAAACCCTTTCGTCTTGCGGGTTTTCCGTCTTGCGAGGCATTCGTCTTGCGGGGTACCACTGTAGTCCTTTTCTGCACCTTATCCAATAGCTTACTCATTTCGGCTATATCTAAAACTTCAAATCAGCTATTCTTTAACAGCAACAATTTCCAGACGGTTACTGGAGGCTATTCTTGATCTGAAGAACTGCCAAAGGGAGACTCCATTATAAAACCACTGACTTATCAAGTTCAGTTCTAACACCCATGGCCTGATGGTAAAAGGTAAGGTAAAGGTACCCCTGCCCGTACGGGCCAGTCTTGACAGACTCTAGGGTTGTGCGCCCATCTCACTCTATAGGCCGGGGGCCAGCGCTGTCCGGAGACACTTTCTGGGTCACGTGGCCAGCGTGACAAAGCTGCATCTGGCGAGCCAGCGCAGCACACAGAAACGCCGTTTACCTTCCCGCCAGTAAGCGGTCCCTATTTATCTACTTGCACCCAGGGGTGCTTTCAAACTGCTAAGTTGGCAGGCGCTGGGACCGAACAACGGGAGCGCACCCCGCCGCGGGGATTCGAACCGCCGACCTTTCGATCGGCAAGCCCTAGGCACTGAGGCTTTTACCCACAGCGCCACCCGCGTCCCATGGCCTGACGGTAGCCGGTCTTATTCCACAATGGCAGGATGTCTGTATCACTACTAGAAATGGTCAGTCTAATAATTTTATATTCATTTGCACTGTAGCATAATTGTAACACTCTGCATTTTTATTTTTATTTTGCATTTCGTTTCCCTCTGATTACTCTGTTTACAGCTGACCATTCCCCTTCCATCTTCAAATCATGTGTACATGTACTTGTCAACTAAGGATAACATTTCATGCATCGGGTGAAGTGAACTCAAGTTCTTGAAACCTTATATGCCATTAAAAAAAATGTGTTAGTCTTAAAGGCAGGTGACTAACCTCTGGCATTCCAGATGCTGTTCAACTACAAATCCCATTATCCCTGTCCAATGGCAATGCTGTTGGGGCTGATGGAAATTAAGAATCTCAGCAACATCTGGTGGTTTAGCCATCCCTGCTTTAAGGTGTCGCAAGACTTTATTGTTTCCCCTTAACAGTGGGTACTGATGCCACTTTCTAATTTTTGCCATAAACACATTTTGCAACAATTTAGACACCATTTGTCAGCCATCCTAACAAAGGCTCAAAAGAAAACACATCAAATGCAAGTCAAATACTTGTTCTTTGAAGGACACCACCTTCTACCCAAGGATCAACCTGAGATAAATTTGGTGTAATCATTATAACATTTCCAACATTTAAAAGCATTTGGTTTGTTGTTTTTTAAATGCATTTACCTTCACTGAGGTCACATACCATTGATATATTATTTTCCTCCTCTCTATGGCTATTCCCTCAGATCTGAAACTGAAATTGAAGAAATTCCTCCCATCATTTCTCATGCTCTGTTCAGTTTTCCAAAATGGTACAAAAGCAAGTCATACAAAAGTAGCACACAAATAGGAAATCAAAATCTAACTAAATGATATCAGAATGGCACTTACCCCTGTGATTTCAAGCTGTCTCTTCAAAGAGGGCCCCTGCTTTTGAAACTGTCTTTTCCCCTTGTGTTCCACTCTAATATTCAAATGTGTCTGTCTTCACTAGATCATCTGCACTTCTCCCCCTTTCTTCTTTTTGACCCCAAACTTTAACAACACTATCCCCAAGTTCTACAGAGCCAAACACTACAATCAAAATTAGGCAAGCTAATGTAACTTGGCCTTGTTTTCCAGATTTATGTTTCCTTGGAAAATAAATTGTGTATTTATTTATTGGCAGAAATGCTGTCTTTTCAGAACCGCACGGAAGGGTGTACTTGAGATTCCTAAAAAACATATTCCCACACACAAATTTCATTAATCTATGAAGGAGGACAAAGAAAACAGTGGCTTTTAGTGACACTGTGTCTTTAATAAACAAAAAGAGCCATATGGGGGAAAGTGCATCAACAGCTGTATTTAATTGCAAAAAGTAGAAATTGACCCCACCCACAAACATACAAATCTGACATATTTACATTATTTACAGGCATTTCCCAAGTATTTACAAATGGTTGCAATATATTAATCTATAATTGTTCATAAAATTGCATATTTACATTCTTTTATTAGAAACAGTTCCATAAATTGGTGTATACGCTTGTCCAAAACTGTATGTGTACATACAGTTACTTTCCCTGTTACCCCTGAGCCATTATAATGTATAACAGTGAGCCATTTTACCCATATTCCCTGAACAGACAAAAAACATTAATAAAAATAAAGAGTCATTTGTTCAAGTCTCAAATACAACAGGAAAGCCCAGCATTTCCCACATTCAATGAAAGAGCAAATTACATAGTTTCCTTTTTAAAAGCCATCATTTTCAGGCTTCCTCAAACTATACATTTCCCTACATAAGATAAACAAAGAAAAAGAGCCCAATACTCTGAGATGCTAATGCCTTCCATTCACTGGTTACAAAGCAGCTGAATTTCTTGACACTTGTGATTTGGTCTTTGTGGGCCCAGGGAGCCCAGAGACGCCAGTGTAGCTAATGAATCCTAAGGATGCTCATCATCTGGCAAAACAGTGGTTCAAGGAAGGCCTGATCCTGCAAGCCCAATTCATAACAAGTCTTAATGAAATGGGCTTGCCCATTCCCTTTCAAATCTGAAAACTCTTCAGAACCTTAAACACACACACACACACACACACACACACACACACATTTTCTCCCATTCTGCATCAGGAAAGGGTTCTGCTCTATCATTGTTGAAAAAGACTAAGAATGCTCCAAACTCTGCTTTGCTTCAGAAAAATTGCACAGGGCTTTTTGAAACTAAGTCTGAAGGTTGTCAGGGGGGGGGGGGAGAGAATCATGCCAATTTAAACAATAGATGTCCATGGAAATAGGTCCTAGGCAACTGGGAAAGCCTTTATTTGAATGCCTTATGACCAATAAGCTTCTCTCCACCCCATTCACTTCTTCCTGCCATTACTTGGATGAAGGTATTGAGGGGATGCTCATCAAATTTGCAGATGACACCACCCTGGGATGGGTAGCCAATGGTGCTGAAGACAGAACTGGGATTCAGGGCCCAAACTGACAAAATGAATTTCAATAGGGACACATGTAAGGTTCTACACTTAGGCAGGACAAGAACCAGCTGCACAAATATGAGATGAGGGACACTTGGATTGCCAGTAGTACATGTGAAAAGGATCTAGGGATCTTCGTAGACCACAAGCTTAACATGAGTCAACAGTGTGACGCAGCAGCAAAAAAGCTAATGCTATTCTAGGTTGCATCAACAGAAACAGAGTGTCCCAATCAAGGGAAGTAATAGTCCCGCTCTATTCTGCTTTGGTCAGATCACACCTGGAGTACTGTGTCCATTTCTGAGCACAACATAAGGAGGATACTGACATTATGGAATGTGTGCGGGGGGAAGGGGGGACCAAGATGATCAAGGGTCTGGAAACCAAGCCTTACGCGGAATGGTTGAGAGAGTTGGGCATGTAGAGGAGGGGCTGTTGGACATAAGAGGAGAGAGATTCTGACTAAACAGGAGGAGGAACTTTCTGACAGTAAGAGCTGCTCAACAGTGAAGCAGGCTCCCACGAGAGGTGGTGAACATTACTTCCTTGGAGGTTTTTAAGCAGAGGTTGGATAATACATCTGCCATGTATTATCTAGTTGAGACGGCAGCATTGCAGAGGGTTGGACTAGATGGCCCTTGGGGTCCCTTCCAGCTCTACAATTCTATGATTCTATGTCGCGTCACTTCAGTTCACCAAGGCAATCTGATTTGCTCATAAGGAGAAATCTTTATTACTAAGAAACTGGCAAAGGATCTTCATATCTTGGCTTGTCAACGTTAACAACTAAACCTGCCAACCCATGGCGCCATGACGAGCCCCTCCTTAGGATTTTAGTCACAGGATTTAGGAATGTGCTGTAATTTCGGGCAGTCATTGATCTCTGTAAATATTGCAGCGCAGCAGATGAGACAGTTTGCTTCTTCAGAAGATGAAAAGAGCAAAGCAGGCCAGGGTACACTGCTAAGATCACAGAAGGAACCAAAAACATTTTCTTCGGGGAAGAATTAATGGCATGCAACAGAAGCAATATATAGGATTCAAGGGGTGTGGAAAATAGTGAGAGCCAATATTTGCATTTATTCCTTGCTGAGCTTCTCTTTTAAAAAAGTGTGTCACCAGAACATTTCATCACAAACAGCAACGGCGTTTGGAATTTGTCCAGCTTCCAAGGGTTCTCAGCACATGCTTCCTGCAGACTTTTGGAAACTATTCCATTCTGATTGTGCATCACAAACACCAGTGACTTTGAGAGTTTTGCTTTGATGAGGCTGACTTGTCTCCAGAATAGGTTTCTTGCATCATTAGATACTTAGTCACAGGCGCTAAGTTTTAGTTCGCAATGAACCTGATCTAGGCAAAGATTATTTTCTATGTTCTCCAACCATAAATGCAAAAAGGTGCCGACACAACTTCTTTGGCCATTGCCGAAAAGGATGGTAACAGGTGCTTAAAAACGCTTCAGAATGGTAGCTTGCACTCCAAAAACCAGACAAGAGAAACTCTGATCTAATTGAATGCTCTTAATCAGTTGAAAATCAGAGAACTTGGAGCTCTGATTCTTGTTGGGCAATTACTTGTTTTAATTCCTTGCAGCTTGTGAAAGAGAAGGAGAAAATGTACTGGAAGTTTGAAAACAAATTATGTAAGCTCCAGAGGGAATGAGGCTTGGACATGTGCATAGCACCTCCTAGACAAAGATCTGGAAACCTATGCAAAGACCAAGAGCACGTGGAAAGCCAGTCCGTATGCAGGACAAATTCATTATCTTCGGCCAAGAGACTATTTCCTGACTGGCATTTGAGGTTGGGAAAGAGAAAGCATTTTTATGGGAACACTTGTGCAGCACATGTATAAACTGGCCTTTAAAACTATTCCTCTCTAGAGACCCCGAGTTGACTAAAATACTGATTCTTCCCCACCCCCTGCCAACTATTAAGCAGTTAGCATCACTAACACAATTCCCTAAAATACAGGCATTTCACTATCAAAGCTTTGTTCATGTAAGTGTTGTTCAATCTCTGTATCTTCCATCATGTAAAATTCTACTTTGGATTTGTTGCTATTTGCATTACTTGCAAGTGGGGGAAAAGGATGCTGACACACCACAATTCAGGGCAAACTGTACTCTGTGTAAATCTACAATAACCCTTGGTTAAAAGCTGGTACATAAGAATTTCGATACCTGCTAGCTTCAGTGTGTAAATCTCAGCAGCAGAGGTGCCAGGAGAGTAAAACGATGATGTCGCGAAACTTCTATTAACTTATGTGGAATGTGGTCCTTTTCAACTTATATGAACATGTTGTTCTGTAATTGCTCAATTAAATCCCTCTACTTTTTCATTAGAATTAAACAAAGTACGGTTTTCCTACTGAACTTGCTATCATCACAAACCTGCTTAAAATGATCCTGGGGTTCTAATGTAGAGTTGTAGTTTTTCTTTATGGACTTCAAGCAGGTTAATAAAAAGTGTGAGAATTTCCTCTACGCAGAAAAGGGAGGCGGGAGGAAGGTTCACCATCTGGTTAAGGGAAACGCTAAAGAATGAGGCAGATTAAATGCCAACCCTCCCAAAACCCAAGTCTCTATAGTGCTGCCTCTTATTTATATACTGATCTTTTAAACACACATACAGCTAAGTTCACTGCCATATGCATCTCCCACTTAAGACTGCAAATCAGTTTATGCATGTTTCCAAAATAGAATATATACAGAAAAAAGGTGGCGAAGATGCAATCTGCATATTTGCAGAAAATCAAGTAGAATGGGACCCAGTTAGGGGCCCTTAATTGCTATTATCATAAAATTAATATATCCCACCTTATCTTCTAGCAAAGATAGAGAGATTGCTTGAATCTCCTCCTTAAAATTGACCTATATTTACAAATGAACTTTTTTTTTTTTTACTTTTCACGTGGAAAGTTGCATTGTTAACTTGGCTGAAACAAAATAATCCCCAATAGAACATAAAACATGCTAAATTGTATGCCCCAGCCCTCATTACTGGGATCCGACTTCAACCTCACACATCTGCAAATTGTCTTAACGCAGCAGGAACCTAAAAGATTCACTCCTGGGAAGCAATACTACAAATGTAGACAGCACATGCTTGAAACTGATCCTCTCTAAAGGCACAGATGAGCCCATGAGCAGCAAGAGGAAACGCACAAAGCTTGGAAAGAGCTCAAGAATAATCAACATGTATTCAAAACCATGGATTAAGACATGAGAAAACACTAACAAAACATAGGGGGAAAGAAGAGGGCAAGATTATTCATGGCACAAGCCTTAAGAATCTGTTTGTTCCAATCCTGCCCGCAAAAGCATCCACCCATCAGCATCTTTGAAACAAGAGCTGGACAGTGTTCGAGCAAAATATGCACAAAAAGTTTTAATTTCCTAGGCAGTGATTAAATGAGACCAAAGTAGTCCAACCTAGACAGCTCAAAAAGACCTAGTTTTCAGAAGAGTAGTGCTTGGCATGTTCTGAAATGTTAAAAAAAAGAAGAAGAAGAAACCCTCTAGCAAATTTGGCTGCTTGATGCAACTATTAGTCATTTTGAAAAAAAATCTTGGATCTGGCATTAAACTGACCCAGGCCAAGAAAGCAGCAAGAATGCGTATCTCAACACTAGGGAAGAGGTGGAAAAAGAAATTTGTAGAGTGCATTGCACACTTGTACAGTGTGTCAAAAAAGCAATTCCATCCTCACCCCACACCAGAACACATCTGCTTTCAAGGAGAGATCTACACACAAGGAGGGGGGGCACCTCCAACTCCTACCAAGATGTTTGAAGGGAAGGCCAAAGTTATCTTGAAGGTCAAGAGAAGATGCCCTTCTAAAGTGTATTCCTTCCTTCACTGCAGGTGCACAAAACAGGGTAAAGATACATCCTTGGAAATGGTGTTCCATTTTGTGTTCCATTTCCTTCGCCTTGGATCCCGAGTGCTCTTACTCAGCAAAAGGCACCTCTCGACAGTTTTTAACTGGCAGATCCATCACAAACAACAGTAGGTTCTGATCCCCTGGAGTTAAAGCCTGTTGTCCAATAATCCACATTTGCAAAACCTTTAGGGAGAAAAATGAGAAAACATTGGGAAAGTGACCTGCATTACTATTCTTTGTAAAGACAATGCTATTGACAGTCTTGTCTATGAACTGAGCTTACCTTTCAAAACGTACTTATACAGTGGTACCTCGCAAGACGAATGCCTCGCAAGATGGAAAACTCGCAAGACGAAAGGGTTTTTGGTTTTTTGAGTTGCTTCGCAAGACGATTTTCCCTATGGGCTTGCTTCGCAAGACGGAAACGTCTTGCAAGTTTGTTTCCTTTTTCTTAACACCGTTAATACAGTTGCGACTTGACTTCGAGGAGCAACTCATAGCACGCGGTGTGGTAGCCTTTTTTGAGGTTTTTGAAGACTTTGGTGATTTTTGAAGCTTTTCCAAAACTTTTCTGAAACCGTGCTTCGCAAGACGAAAAAATCGCAAGACGAAAAAACTCGCGGAACGAATTAATTTTGTCTTGCGAGGCACCACTGTACTGTTAGGATTGTATCCAATGCTGTGTGTGTGGAGTTCTGCTCACAGAAAAGGATGTCCCTTCCTCTCCACTTCCTATGTACAGTGGTGCCTCGCAAGACGAAATTAATTCATTCTGTGAGTTTTTTCGTCTTGCGAATTTTTCGTCTTGCGAAGCACGGTTTCAAAAATCACCAAAGTCTTCAAAAACCTCAAAAAAGGCTACCACACTGCGTGCTATGAGTTGCTCCTCAAAGTCAAGTCGCAACTGCACCTCTTCAAGCAATGCACCCTGGGCCTGGGTATTAACGGTTTTAAGGAAAAGGAAACAAACTTGCAAGACGTTTTCGTCTTGCGAAGCAAGCCCATAGGGAAATTCGTCTTGCGAAGCAACTCAAAAAACCAAAAACCCTTTCGTCTTGCGAGTTTTTCGTCTTGCGAGGCATTCGTCTTGCGAGGTACCACTGTACCTCCAAAATCTGCTCCTGAGGGTTCCCCAGTCTTCAGAGGAACCTTTAGAGGGTTCCTCTGAAGCAGATTTGGAGGATGCGGAAGGGGCGGCAGGGAAGAAGAGTGGGAAGTTCCATGGCACAAATGCAATGGCAGTGTTGGGTGCAACCCTTAGGCTTGAAGGCTTCACTCCATCCCATAGAAATTAAATTAGAAACAGAATTTCCCTTTAAAAAAAAACAATCCTCTCTGACTTAGGCCCAACAGGGAAGAAAGGCATTCTATATATATCTCCTGCCCCGCACTATTGATAAAAGAGCATCTTAAAGATTAAAACATTTACTACATCAAGTCATACAGGTTAGTTCTATTTTTTCAGAACCCTAAAGTTTTACAGAAACTTCCACAGTACCGTAAAAAACTAATGAATGTATTGTGGTACATGCTTTCATAGTCAGAAATCACTTCACTAGATGCACCCAGTGAAGATGGATCCTGTCCTATGAATTTCCATGACACAATATGGATTGTATCCAAAGTAGTGCTAAGTAATTCGTTCTGTTAGCATAAGGATTTACACCAGTGCAACAGAATTTCCCCCTTTCCTCCCCTAGTGCTTCCTAAGTCTGTTTCCCCAACCCTCTGCGGCACATTTGGAGAGGATTCTGTGCATGTGCAGAAGACAGGTTGTGCTAAAGGGATGAGTGCAAGGGATTCCACCCCACATTTCTAAATCTTTAAGGTGCCACGAAACTCCTTCATTTTTACTACAGTAGATCACCATAATTATTATGCTAGCACGCCTCTTTACACCTGAGCCCTTCTCTGTTCCTTTCCCACTTCTACACTCTCTTCTTTGAAATGTAGCAAATGTTAAGTCTAGTGTTCTATATCAAGATGGGTTTGCTTAGTGGCGTAGCAACGTTACGCAATATATCATGCCCTTTACCCTAAACAGTTGTTTGGCTTTTAACTGCTACAAAGCGCTGATCTCAAGCTTCCCACAATGGCGAGGCATCCTTCCAGGTTGGGAAAAGCCAATTCAGAATACCACATTGTGTATTCAGAGTTCATATTTTTTCCCCAATAGACAGGGTGTGGAATACATTTTCTCCTCTGCTGCATAATAAAGATTAGAACATTTAGCAGGGCATAATCATGAGCACCAAGCCACTGCTTGCCTTTTTCCAGAGTATAAGGTACAATGAGATGCAATGAACAGCTCCCAGAATGCAACATTTGCTGCAGTGTCACATCATCTGTATTTGTATTTACCAATATCCCCGGCTTCCAGCTCCACTATCACTGTTTTGCAATGTTCTCTGCACAACGGAGAAGGGATAACATTCAAGGTAAGCTGACCACTTCCAACCACAAAGGTGCTCTGCAGTCTGTATGTCTGAAAAATATGAAGACGGAAGAAGCTTCAAATTATCCTATGCCCTTTCAGAGCTTTATTGGAAAGCAAGAGAATGAAGGAACATTTCCCTGCCGAATTAACCCAGGCGACACAAAGATGCAGAAGAGCTGACTACCACAGAGCTGTTTCCCATAACTACCATCTGAAGCACTTTGCCTTTTAGAATGGACTAGGTGCTCAACGTACTGCCGCAACCTACATGTGCACTTATACTCTTGGGGAGAAATGTGGACAAGTAGTGATCACCACCACCATTTATCTGAGACTGCTGAGCATAAGGCACATTGGGACAACTGCAGAAAATTGTGCATGCATTCCCCCCAAAGAAAGGGGACCCTGACATTGTCTGGGGAAACATTTTCTGCTGATGTTTAGGTGCCTTTTTTTCTTTTGTTTTGGGGTTCTTGGTGTGCATTTTATTGTGATGTAAACTGCTTTGAACTTTCGGAGAAGCAGCACAAAAATATTTCAAGAAGCATTAAAATGCTCACCTTATCCTGAAGTCTTGAGTTGTGGATGAGAAAACAGCTTTTCAGAGAAATAGTCTTTGGAAGCAGCAGTGAAGAGAAGATGGGAAAAGTCTCCTGCAGAATCCGAGTTTTATTCAGAGGATTTTGCCTATGGGACATTTTAGAGAACCAGACTGTGCTTAGCATCTTACATTGCTGCCAAGTCCCTTCAAAAGATATCCACCTCTGTCATCCTGAATCACTATTATTGCCTCCATTTTGCAAAAGTGACCAAAAAGCGGGGGAAAGCATAAGAATGAGATTTTCCCAGAGCTTGAACTAGAGACAGGGACTCCTTGGGATGAGTTCAGATCACCTATCACCTCCCAAGAAAACAATATGCTCAGGGAACAAAGAGGCTGATGCAACAACGATATATATATATATTTAAATGTCAAGTTCATTTAATAAAATGCTGATGAAGGGAAATAAAGGAAGGCGTCACCTAGTCAAACATTAACTAAAACCACATGGGAAAGAGTTTGGGAATCCTAGCCTATTCACCATTCCAAGAAAAGGGAGGGCAGGGACGCATTTTAGAAATCCCAGTGTGGGGATCCGTCATGATTCACAGCTTGATATTCTGCACCCAAACTGTCTAGCACAAGTTCATAAAGTAAGAACAGCACTGAATGATAGACAACGCCGTGTCCCACAATTACGAAGTGCCCAAATATGACTCAAAGCCTAAAATCTTTAGGTTCTGTATCTATGCACACATTCGCTTTGGTTTAAGATTGTAGCCTTAAATTGTTGCTGCATGCTAGTTTCTTTGGCAACCTCTGAGCAGCAGCCTCTGAAGTGAGCAGCTTAAATAAAGTGACTTAGGTGATGTTGTTGCCTTTGAGAATTTATCTCCAAGCAACTGAAGAGCCCTTTATTCTCTCTCACACACATACTAAACACTGGAGCAATTCAGTACAGTGGTACCTCGGGTTAAGAACTTAATTTGTTCTGGAGGTCCGTTCTTAACCTGAAATCGTTCTTAACCTGAGGTACCACTTTAGCTAATGGGGCCTCCCTCTGCCACTGCACCACCACACAATTTCTGTTCTCATCCTGAAGCAAAGTTCTTAACCCGAGGTACTATTTCTGGGTTAGCGGAGTCTGTAACCTGAAGCGTATGTAACCCGAGGTACCACTGTATGGGGCTGTTAGACAACATTTTAAACAGGAATTGGCAAAACCAGCACCCAGCATTTTTTTTGGAATAAAATACTCTAAATTGAAGGGGTAGGGAGAGATTTCTGCAGAAATTCTGTGGGTTGAACAAATTCCAGCCAAATATGGGCTTCTCTGAATCCATTAGTTACTCAGTGCTGTAGTTGCCCTTTTTAAAGGCCTGTAAGTAGTGGCATCTATTGGTGGCACCACTTGCATGCACTGTAGAGGCTTCTGCAAAGTCTGTAACCTGCACAATGTGAACTGGACCTCTGCTGCCCCTGCATTTGGGGGAAGATACAGGCATCTAAGAGGCAGAATTTGACCTTTACATTCTGGTACACCAGTGCTCTGTGAAGCAATAGCGAGGTCTTTACTGATGAGGGACCTTCTAGAAACTGCGGAAACCAAAATGGTTTTGTTGAGTTTCACATCCCAATTCCATTGTATTTTTCTGTGTATTTCACCTCGGCAACACACACACCAAACTTTCCGTCAAACCATGTTTGGAAAGAAATCTGCTGGTATTTTTAAATGCTTAAGGAATCCTACCACAAAAGGCCCTCTCAGAATCCCAAGGCACATGTGCCAAAATGCCACATTATAAATTTGACTGCTGGTCTGGTGTAGTGGTTAGAGTGTCTGGCTAGGACCTGGGAGACCAGGGTTCAGATCCCCACTCAGCCATGAAGCTCACTGGGTGACCTTGGCCAGTCACTCATTTTCAGCCTAACCTACCTCACAGGGTTGTTGTGATAAAATGGCAAGGAGAACTTACGTACACTACCTTAAGCTCCTTCAAGGAAAGGTGGGATTATAAGTGTAATAAATATATAAAGGAAATAAAATTGAACAGACCAATTTTCCATTTGGGTCAAGATGATACATTACATATTAGAATAAGACAGCTACAAAAACAGCAAATCCACATCATCCTTTCTAGTGTTCTTCACCCGTCACCCACCCACCCAGCCTTTTGGAAGACGCATCCCAGAAAGTTCACTTGGGTCAAGTTCAAGAAAGTGTGTGTGTGTGTGTGTGCAACTTCAGTGAATAGCTCAAACTCACCAGAAAATGTGAACTCCTTGCCCTGGATGACTGCTCCATCTCTCAGCTGATTCCTCCAGTATGATGAAATCTGTCAGTCCAGGGTACAGAGACTGAAAATGCTTCATTTCAGCATAAGACCGATACTGTCCTGTCTTGTGAAAAAGAGAGGAGATGGAATGGTATTTTTATGAGTTGTGTTTTCTCATACAACCAAGGAGTAGGCCCCATTCTGACAGGCATCCCACACTGTGAAGTTACCTTGATGAAGAGAGGCTGAGTTTGCAGCAGTTTTTCTGATAGCTGCCCTAGGTCAGCAGCAGCCACAAGGTTCTTCACGGAGCAGGAGCAGTTGGCAGTCTGAGACACATTCTGTCTACAATCCAAGCCCCACCAGTCTTGACACTCTTTGAAGCAAAAGGATATAAGTGGTTTGTGAGCCCCAAGATGTCACTTAAGCAAACAGAAACAGATTCCAAACATTACACTTGTCATTGCCGTGGACTATCATGAGATAATTCATTGAAAAGGAATCTTTAAACTTGATATGGGCAACACCTGTCACCCCATTTGAGAGCAAACAAGTGGCGCATTTCACAGTTCTGTCTCAGAATAAGCCCCCGCCTTCTTGCTGGAACACCCCCAGATGGCAATGCACAACATTAGGTACATTAAGAGGGATACATACTTGCTACTCAAATGTAGTAAGTGGCTCTTCCTAATAAAAAACTAGAATGGCTTCCACAAAGGTAAATTCCATGTAACTAACCTTTGAGTGTTATCCAACAGCGTCAGCAAGCATATGGATAGGAGAGATTCAGTAGATATTGTGTACTTGGACTGCCAAAAAGCTTTTGATAAAGTTGTTGATAAAGCTCATCAACTTCGGGTGGGTATTCCCCCTTAAAATAGGTCAACAAGTTCTACCACCTCTTTTTCTAGAAAAAAGCCCTGCTTAACCCTGTGCTTTTTAACTTCTTCGTAAACAACCTAAAGTTAGGGGTGAGCAGTGAGGTGGCCAAGTTTGCTGGTGACACCAAATTGTTCAGGGTAGCACAAACAAAAAGGAATTGTGAGCGGATCCAAAATGATATTTTCAACTGGGTGAACGGGCATTAAAATGGCAAATGTAAGCAAGTGTAATTGATGCACACTAGTGCAAAAAATCCCTATCTTCACCTATATGCCAATAGGGTCCGATCTGGTGGTGAATGACCAGAAATGAGACCTCAGTGAAAATGGCAACTGTGAAAAAAGCAAACTCCATGTTTAAAGGACTGAAAATAAAAATGATTAAGAGTGTGTGTATTGACAAACCTATGGTGCAGAGGCATCTAAAATACTGTTATCACAGGGCGGGAAAAGATTCAGAAAAGGGCAATCAGAATTATCATCCAAAGTCCAACATTTGGACTTTTTTAGTTTAGAAAAATGCAAGTAAGGGGGTGATATCATACAACATAAAAGTATGCATGGTGTGAAGGAAGTAGATGGAGAAAAGCCTTTCTCCCTCTCTCTCATCACACTAGAAGCTGGAGTAATCCAGTGAAGCTGAAGGATGGAAGATTCAGGATAGACAGGAGGAAGAACTTATTCACAAAGCACATAGTTCAGACTCTGGAATTCACTACCAGAAGATACAGTAAAGGCTACCAAACTGATAGCTTAAAAGGTGATTAGACAAATTCACAGCAAATAAGGCTATCACTGACCACTAGCTATGATGGCTGTGTACTACCTCCAGTATCCAAGGCTATATGCCTCTAAATACCACCAGTTGCTGGGAATCACAAGAAGAAAGCACTGTCACGATATGGTCCTGCTAGCAGGCTTCCCATAAGCATCTGGCTGGCCACTGTGGGGGAAAAGGACACTGGCAAGATGGGCCTTTGGTCTGATCCAACAGGGCTCTTATAGCATTCTTATGTAACAGGAGCGTGTGATTTAAATTACGGGCAAATTATATTTGAGGATCAGGCATTCTGTTTCTAATTTTAATAGGAAAAACAGAGCATAAGCAATTTGCCTGGCCTCAATGGAAATCAAATTTCAGCACTCCCTTTGGGGACTCAATCTCCTTTGATTAGAGAGACTTAGCTTAAATGGTCATTTTACAATACTGTATAATACAACAAGATAAGTAAGGCTTTGTCTTTTATTGGTTAGACTTTTTGTTGTTGTAGCTTGGAAGTGATGGTTAACATATGACCCCTTACTGGGGGGAAATGAAGAGATGGTGGCTTATTTCCCACCAGGGTCTCTCCCCTCCTTTTGCAAATAGGTAACTGTAATCATGTTATACAGAACGACATCTCAGGAGAAGAAAAGAGAGGAGTTTATTCATCATTACACTTTTGAGAAAGGGATTCTCTCAAGAGACAGAAGAAACCACAGTGGTTAATTCTTTATGGCTTGTTCATTATCATCATTATTTATCAAATTTCTGTACCACCCTTCATCCGAGGATCACAGGAAAGCTTGCAATATCTGACTGAATGCTGTGTTTCATGTGTTACCTCTGGGATGTGTTCTAGAAAGATCACAATATGACTTGTTTGTTACTGGAAAACTTGCATCAGAGCCTTCTTAAAAAGATACTTGATAACGACATTGTATTCTTCTTAAGCACGCATACAAATTCTTGATGTTTTAGTAAGCAAGAACAACTGCTTCAGTGTGCACCTCCCAACTGCACAGAGGCTAAATTACAGAAAATCTCTGCCCAATGGGGCAGAAAGAATCAAGAAAAAGAGGTTGCAAATGATAGCCCTTCAGGGGGCCACATGGTATTGGTGGGTGCGGCCAGAGGTAAAAAGGGACAGAGCAATTAATTTGAATTTTACTTTCGTACAATAGGCTAGGTTCTACACACACTTGCACACTCCTCTGTATCCTAAAAGCATTATCAGAGCCCAAGGACACATTCTAGCCAGGCAAATGCACTCAGGAAGGGCACAGAGAGACAGAGAGGCTGGGGAGCTGCTGCATTGGCCCTAGGCCTGGGGATCCCCACTCCTGATCTTAAGGATCACCTTCTGTAACAAGCGATCAACAATGCTTCATTTGATTTCCTTCAGTACATCCTAACAGAAGACAATACAAAATTCATGGAAAAGGAGGACCGTTAAAATGCTTCTGATGCCTTTAAAGTCTTTGAAGCCATTTCAGGAGGTTTACCCAGTTTGAAAGACTGAGATGTTTAGCATCGCAAGATATAGAAGCACAGAGAAATCTGTACGGCTGTGCATTAATCACATCCACCAAACAGAGCCCAATTTATCTTTGCAGCCAATTCTGGGTATTTGCATTCTCAATTGCATGATTCAGGAGGTTTTTGTTTGCCATGAATAACCCACTCAAGTATTCCAAGTGGGCTTAAAAAAATTTGTTTAATCAATCTGAGATTTATTGTTGAGGGTGTTCCTTTGTACACCAGAAAGTGTGTGACTTGCATAAAAAGTGCAGTGGGAAAAGGGAGGGAGGGCAGCAGGCTAGCCTAGATTTGGAGAGAGACTGAAGGGTGACATGGAAGAATAACAGGCTGAGCAAAGAGCAGAGGCAATGCAAACACAGGAGTGTAGAAGAGGACTGAACTGGAGCTTGACACAGTAGTCTTCTCTCCTCTACTACCTTCAGTTATACTCCTCTGCATTCATTTCAGATTATCAGTCTGTCTGTGGGCACACTGAAGGTGTATTTGGCCTTTAAGTGTAGCAGGCCTTGATCCGTTTGTAGCATAGCCAGTTCGTAAATTCTCAAAAAAGAATATTCAAGCTGGAATTCTGTAGCTAAAACATGTATGTTAAGGTTTCAAGAGCAATTGTGCTTGATTCCAGGGCCAGCACCCAGTTCTAGATGTGTCCCCACCACCAGTCCCTACTTTCACAAGTCTGCTTGCAGAGAGCAATCCTTTTGCAACTGCAAGCAGTGGGCCGACAAATATGCATACAGGCTCTCATCAGTAGGATCGCCTCCCCACCAAGACATAGATCCTTGAAACAAGCAGCTTAAGATACCACATATCTGGGAAGGCTCTCCTTCTCAACTCTTAAAAATAGGCATGCTATTTCCAACACTTAATTCATGTAACTTGCAGTGATGTATATACCTTCGCCTGCCAGTTTAAAGAGACCAGGCACACACAAGAGCTTTGCAAAGCTGAGACTAACATAGAAGTGTGCATGCACACGAAAGCTCATACCAATAACAAACTTAGTTGGTCTCTAAGGTGCTACTGGAAGGAATTTTTTTATTTTGTTTCGACTAACATAGAAGTTATTATAAATGAGCTGCTGTTGCCATGACAAAGAGATAGCGAAGCTGAAATAACGCAATTCTGCATTTATCTGGCAGGGAATACGGAGACCCACATCATTTAAAATCCACTAAAGGAGGAAGATTCTGTTGTGCTGTTACTAAGCAGTATATTTCTGTGCCAAAACACCAAGGAGGATATTTTGATCCTCATTAGACAGCAGAGTCCCATTTTGGCCAGGTTCACACGTCACATTAAGCCAAACCTAGCTCAGCATAAATGTACATGCTCTTGGAGAGGAGCTCACAGACACTTCGCTCCTCCCTGGTTCTTCTCACTACTGCACTGAGTATCACAATTGTGCTGCTGTTTTCCCCCTACTGACCAGAAGTGTAGACAGGAGCAGTTTCTGCATCTCTTCTTAGAGGCTCAGCAACTTCATATGGGAGTCAGCCTGTCACTCAGTCCCGAGGTCAGAGTACTGTATCATTACCAACTATTTCTCTTGGCTGTCCATACAAACCACCAGGCACTTTTAATTATTATTTTTTAACCCATATAATCAACATTTTAATCTTTCAGTCACTTCAAATCACTTCACACGCAATAACAACTTTTGGCATGCTAAGAAGCTAATTTGATAGGAAAGATGGACCCCAAAGAGCTAAGGGAGTTGGAAAGTTAAGACACAACAGACTAGATCCAGAGAACTCACAACTGGCCACTGGCTGGGCCCTTTCCTGGAGAAGATGGATCTATCACACCTCCTAGGTTGGCTGGTTAACTGCAAAACACTCAAAAGTAAGGGCTAACCAACTAGCCCAAACATGTTCTGACTGGGAACAGACTGCTTTTAATTAAAGGGTTGGTGCTGTGCTGTTTTGTAATTATTGGTATGGTTTTAATAGATTTTATATATGTAGCTAGTTTAAATTTATCACATCTTAAGCACCGTCTGGGGAAAAGGAGGGATATAAATAAATTTGTTGGTGGTGGCTTTTTGGAGCATCCAGTCAGTTTCCAAGCCCCAAAATGTTTGTCATTGTCTTTGTTTATTTAAAGGATCATCATCTCCTACGTGCTTAGGTCTTCAATGGAGATACTGCTCCACCACCACTGACAGACGTGCAGCTGCTGGGTATGCAAGTCAGA